ACCAAACTTCTTCATTTTGGATAAAACTGGTCTTTTTCCAGTGAAAAGGAAATAGGGCGTTTGCCCTGATCTCTTACAGAAACACCTATTCCTGATATAAGCAGCAGTCCTAGCTGCATGTGGCCACAGCTCTTTGGGTAGGCCTGCCTCGATCAACATGCATCTAACCATGTCGAACAGTGTACGCCAGCCTCTCTCCGCCATCCCGTTTTGATGCGGGGAGTGGGGCGCTGACCTCTCATGTTTGATCGCATAGTTTTTCAGTAATTCCTGGTACTCCTCTGAAATAAACTCTGTCCCATTGTCTGATCTCAGACACTTTACTTTACCGTAGGGTGCTGAATCTGCTCAAAACTGCTTTGTTGCTTCAACGGCTTTGTTTTTATTCCTAAGGAAATACACGTACACAGCACCTGAAAAATCATCTATGAAAGTCATGGCATATTTGTACCCTTCGGATGACTCTGGGACAATAGGGCCACCCAGGTCTGTGTGGATCAACTCTAATGGCTCTTTAGCTCTTGCATCACTCTGTCTATTTCTGCTCTGAGAAAATTTGCCCTCAAGACACACTTCACATTGGTTGGGTTTGCATGTTTTGTCTTTGATTTTCATACCGTTTACAACAGATTCTAGCTTTACTAGATCTCCATAGTTGCAATGTCCCATTACTTCATGCCAAGTTTTCAAATCACGGGCTACATTACATGAATTTTCAACGTTTATATCCTTCTCAATAACAGTATCTAAACAGTACAGTCTATCTTTTACCTTCATTGTACATGTAGTACCATCAGGAAGGATCATTTTGTTGTTCTTATTCTCAAAGTTGAATCTCGCTCCTTTCGAAGTCGCTGCATCCACAGACAGAATGTTCTGTGGGTATCCAGGAATCAGCAAGGGGTCTGTGAGTTTGACACTCACCACTCTCCCGTTGCAGTCAGTCAGCTGTTTTACGGCCCCCAGCTCGTCTAGGAGATGATGTTAAAGGGGGCGTAAAGAAAGATATGTGATTGACCGGACAAACCAAGATTTGCTCTCTTAGAGGAGTTTATTAACTAAAAATCACTGCTTTATGCAGGCAAAGACAAAATGAATACAAAACCAAAAGGACGTCCACACTGGGGAATTAACAATACTAAACAGAAGGATCATCCACTACTGGGAAAATAACACTAATATCTATAAACACAAAATGCCGGTACTAATCTGGGAAAACTAAAGGAATGAGATAAACACAAAAAACTCCACCAAAAGGGTGAGCTGAACTCTTTAACGAGTATTCTCATGAAGACAAAAATCGAGCTCTGAACTAGAAAGTGTACCACACAGGTAATCAAAACGAAGACTTTAACGTCTGGTTTACTAGGAGGGAAAAAGAGGAACACTCGCTTTAACACAAGGCCTCTGCTAAGCTTCCCTCCTCGAATGACAGAGGAAGCTGCCTTTTATAGGAAGCTCCCTGATTGTGAGATTAGCGACACCTGGCTCAGCTAGAGCCAGGAGAACAGGCTTGGAGCTCTGAGGCCACCTTGTGGCCACAAAACAGACAGCGTCTGTAACAGCTGGATCTGCGCATCTCCCTTCCTCTTGAAGCTGCCGGTGATCCGGGTCCCGTCTGCCAGCTGCATGACATGGTTCTCGGGCCGAAACGTCTCATCGAATCTGGTGAAGGCCCCCTCTTCGGTTAAAATGTAGGCCGATGCTCCGTTCTGTGGGGCTTCCACTCGCTCAGCCGTAGCACATACTCCTCCTCTTCCTTCGCGGGCTTTCGTTTGTCTTTGGTGTTGTGAATGACCTGTCCAGTGTCCATGACGGTTACCACCTTGTGGCTGCTGTGCGCGCCGACTACTTTTTGCCGTAGCTTCTTGACTTTGTCTCTGCAGTCTCTGGCTTTATGTCCCGCCTTCTCACATATAAAGCACTCTCCACTAAAGTACCTCTTTTCCTCTCTGAACTTCGGTTTGGATATCTTGTAACTCGCTGTCATCACTTAATCTGAGCGGGGTTTGCCTCTGTATCGGAGAGTGCACTCGAAGCTTCTTAGCCGAGCTTTGAACTCTGCGAAAGTTAGCATCTCCCTGGTCTGCGTAACATGCACAGAAAACGGGTCATATTCATCCGTGAGTCCTTTAAGTACCTTCGCTACCAGGAGTGCGTCACTCAGAGTCTCTTTAGCTCTGTTTAGAGCGGCCACTATCTTTTCCACACGTGCTAGGTAGTCTGCTAGCTCTTCGCCGTTAGCCATTTGCACATTGGTTAGCTCGGTGTACAATCCAACGATTCGCGTTTTTTCTTCTGACTCAAAATGGCGCCTCAATATTTCTAGGCTCTTCTTGCCATCATCAAATTTGTATTAATTAAAGGTCAGTTCCCTCTGTAAAGTCAGAGGTACAGAAGAGGATTCGGGCAACTGATAAAAGAGAATTCTGACTTTTTCCCAGAAATCCCTGTCAGAATTCCGAGATTAAAAGTCAGAAATCTGAGAAAAAACGTCTCATGATCCGTGGTATTCTTTTGACCCACGACATGCAGAATCAGAGTCGGAAACAGGGAGGTAAGAAAATAAAATCATTTACTTTAGAATGGAGAACTCAAACTGCTCAAACTGATGCAGGAAGTACCAGGATGTTCTAAAGGAGAGACAAAAGGTTAATATCCGTGAGAGATGATGGGATGGATAACTGAAGGTCTAGGCTTACTGTAAGGAGGTGGTTAGAGGGCGTGCAGAGGAGCACTGGTTGGTCTTTTGAAGATGGGTTGCAAAGGGGTCTTGATGAAGACGAGGTCCAGAGTTCCTGTGTGGTGAGCTTAAAGGGTTAGGCGGTAGGGGCGTGGCGGAGACAATACAGCCAGGAGTTGGAGCTGCATGAAGTGGAGCTGATGAGAAGTTCTTGGAGATGGCTGGAGGAGATGATTCCTTGAAGGGATAAGAGGAAGGATTAATCTTGGTTCTAGTCTGTTAGAAATCTGCTTCACGAAACATTTCTTAGTCTACGTTTTAGTCCTAGCTTGACAATAAATTTTTAATCTGCTACCCAGGTTGAGTAATCATCCGGCAAGAGTGTTGAGGAAGTCAGCTTCTTAAATACACCCAGGAGGATGCTTGGAGATGAGCTGCAGCTGGCCGTTGCTCCTGCTCTCCAGACACGCCCACCTGCAGATTCTTAGACCTAAAAACATGGTGAGAATAAAAACAGCCCATGACAAAACATAACAATTCTCTTTCTTTTCTTTTTTTCTTGTCTTGTCAGTGGCTCTAATCCTCTTCTGTACAGAGTAGAAATAAATAAATAAAATGTAGAGCACAAAAAGTCTCCCCCCTTTCCCAAACGGCCGGCGAATTGTCCGCTCCCAACCCCATCTCACTCTTTGGAATGTTCAAAAGTTGGCAGCCCTATATATACCGACTCTGTCTGAATTAATACGAAGTGTGTTTATGGTCCCTAGAACCCTAGAATCTTCTGATTACACATTCAAAGATCAATCGGATTGATATTTCATATTTATATGGAATAATCACATCTTATTGGTTTTAATAATGATAAATGACCCACACTTATATAGCGCCTCTCAGAGTAAGGACTCCACAGCACTTTACACTACAGTGTATCATTCATCCATTCACACACACATTCATACACTGGTGGGGATGAGAGGCGAGGCTGCCGAGCATAGGCACCACCGGACCCTCCGACCACCACCAGCAGGCAAGGTGGGTTAAGTGTCTTGCCCAAGGACACAACAGCAGAATTCTCTGTCCGGAGCCGGGATCGAACCTGCAACCTTCCGATTACTGGACAACCCGCTCCACCTGTTGAGCTACTGCTGCCCCGTATAAGGGACAATAAGGCTGTGGAATGCACTCGCAGTTCAGATTCGTCCCTGTCGGGTTTTTAATCACTTTTAAAGACTCATCTGTTCTCAGTTGCTTTTAATTCCGTTTGAGAATGCATCTGTTTTTAGTGGCTTTTATGTCAGTTTAATATGTTTGTTTTTATCATGTTTTTACTTTGTGATGAACTTTTTATCTTATTTTTAGAAGTTTTAGGGATCTTCTGTTCTTTTTGGCTTGTTAAGCACTTTGGTCAGCTTTTATGCTGTTGTAAAGTGCTTTATAAATAAAGATGACCTGACTAATTAATATTTTAATTGCTACAACTTTAAATTCAAATTAATTGATGGTTTCAATTAAAATTATATTGCACTAAACTTTAAACTTCATTAAATTATTACAATTTAGAGGGATTGAATTTTAAACTCTTCATTTTCACACTAAACCAAGTTTAAAGCTAAGCCTGTTGCACCAAACCTTTAAACTTTGATCTAGGAATTACTTTAAACCAGCTAATGAGGATGCTTAACTTTAGTAATGGCTGTATTTTTAGTTATCTATAGCCAAATTATTCTTCCAAGAAAATGGATCAGCAGGCTCAGTCCACCTGAATTAAATGATTAAGGTGGATTTCTGGTCATTGCCTGGTTCACCATATCAGTTTTAGAGCTTTTTATTCAGTAAACTTAGCATTGTGAAGCCATTAAAACCAGTTGCTGCCTCCTGTTCTCACCACCGATCCTGAGGCGAGACTGTTTTTTATTTACATACCAGCTCCCCGATTAACGGTGGGCTCGGTCGGTGACGCTTTGGTCCTGCGTGCCTTTGATAAAAAAGAAAAAAGTTAGCCGCAGGTCATAATTTCATTTCGAACCTCTGGGTCGTTAATGTGGTAACCATGGAAACACTCCTGCTGCTGCTCATTTACGCATCCGGGGTCAGCGTCAGCGTGCACGTGCGCAAGCACCACTACTGTCATGACACATAAAGGAACGACGCAGCTCCACGTACCACGTGACTCCTGCGTAGACTCATTTACATATCTATTGCTGTACGTCTGACGTCATCAAAGGCCAGAACCTATAGACCTCGGACCTGAAAGCATGTCACTCACTTTGTCTAGAAGAGAGAAGCTTGTTTTTGGACTCCCACAAGAAGAATTAAAATGGCAAAATCCACACAGGAATGTTTAGATAATTCGACTTTCAGAATTAAGGAAGGTATGTCTGTTGCAAGCAGATTCAATGTTTACCAAATCCAAAAAGTCACACATTACAGGAAGTTCAGTCAGATTGCTGAGTGCCGAAATGAGAGAACAGGTGAAATTTTGGCAATAAAATTTGTCAAAAAGAAGTTTTATTCTAAAAATAGGAGAGAGGTGAGGATACTGAAGCAACTGAAAAGTTTAGGTCTCCACCAATGCCGCATTGTCAACTTTTCTGAGTGTTTTTCATACCAAGACAGGACCTGCTTTGCCTATGAGAAGCTGGATTCAACCTTTCAGGAATTAGTTTTAGCAGCAAATGGGAAACCTGTTCACCTTATTGAGATCAGAGCTATTGCATATCAAATGATCGTTGCTTTAGCAGCTCTGCACCACGCTGGATTCACTCACGCTAATATAAAACCAGAAAATATAATGACTATGGATGAAGTTTCACATCAGTATGGTGTCAAACTGATTGGTTTTTCCAACTCTGCAACGACATCTGACTTACGTGACTTAAAGATCCCTTTAGATTGTGGTTACACCGCACCAGAGGTGTTCCTGGACTGTCCACTAGACGAAAGCCTTGATATCTGGAGCCTTGGATGTACGTTAGCTTTTCTGTTCTTAGGGCAACACATGAGCCCCGTGGACTGTGAGTATCAGTACATGAGGTTTATCGTAGATGTCTTGGGCCAGCCGAAAAATAAACTACTGGAAAAAGGATGTCAAAGTCATCTGTTTTTTAAACAAGTGAAGCAGGGGTCTGATTATGTTTGGAGACTCCGGACCCCGAAGGAATTTGAAGAAATAACTGGAATTGAGGTTAAGAAAACAGATTGCAATAATTTAACTGATTTGAATGACTTTCTGTTTAAATCCAACCAACCAGAGCCAATAGCTTATGACGACACAGAGGCTTTCATCGACCTTCTCAGGAAGATGTTAAACGTGGACCCGGCACTTAGGATCAAGCCAGCGGATGCTTTAAAACACCCATTTATAACAATGAAGCATCTGCGTTATATCTCAGATGAATTTTATTTAACAGAATCCCAAAGGATTATGGAGGAATTCCAACACAGCGAACAAGAATACACTTATAGTTCTCTTTCTACTCCGAACAGCAACGGAGAGCAGACCCCAGACCTGGATTTTAGTAAGAAGGGAAAGAGAAATTCCTCACATTTAGTCCAGACCGAAACCAGAACAGGAACCAGTAGCAGTGAAACAAAAGCTGAAAAGAAAAACACGCCACACTCTGACCCCAGGAAGAGTTCACCTAATGATGAGAAAGTCCATCCGTTGTTTAGCAGTGAAAGCTCTGAAGGAGCTAGTTCAGAGGACTCAAAGATGGACCTGTCTATCAGATGGGAAACGGATTCCTCAGACACAGACAAAGGGTCGTACTCAACTGACTCAGATAGCATCCCTTCAATATTAACGCCAGGTATGGTAATTACGGGGAATTCAAAGATTTACGAAGTAGAGGAAGTTCTTGGTTTTGGGACGTTTGGAGAGGTGGCCAGGTGCTGCATAGAGGGACAAGATAAGGTGGTCGCTTTGAAAGTAATGAGTAGACAGTACGAAAGCGAATTTTTAAATGAAGTTCAAACGTTACAACTTCTGAACAAACTGACAAATTTCAAACACTGCTTTATGAAACTGAATGACAGTTTCACCTATCGAGGCTTTTTATATCAGGAATTCGAGCTTTTGGATCAAACTTTGTTCGATTATTTCAAACAAAGAGGTGACACTTTAAAGGTGGCTGAAATCAGAGCAATTGCCCAGCAGATCTTAGAAGCTCTTAGTGTTTTAAAACAGCTTGGCATTACTCACACAGATTTGAAACTTGATAATATCATGCTTGTAAATCATGAAGCACAACCATTCGGAGTGAAGCTGATTGATTTTGGGTTGGCTTTTGAGACTGAACGTTTACCACAGAAGGGTATCATTCAGAATTTGGCTTGCAGAGCTCCAGAGGTAACTCTTGGTCTACCACGAGATGAAGCGATAGACACTTGGAGTCTTGGCTGTCTCTTGTCTGCTCTGTTTCTGGATTGTTATCTGTTCCCAGAAGAAAACGAATACGATAATCTGAGAATAATTATGAAGCTCCTTGGTCAACCTGACAAAAAACAACTGGACGAGGGGACTCTAGTCTCAAACTATTTCAGAAAAGATAAGAACAGGTCTGAATGCTCTTGGAGATTTAAAACCCTGAAACAATACGAAAAGAAGAGAGGAGCGGTGTCTGTGAGGGCAGACGCAACCTATGATGATTTAACAACGCTGGATGACTTGTTTTTCTCTCAAAACACTAACAACTCAACTGAAAATGAAGATATCGAAGCTTTTCTTGACCTCGTGAAGAAAATGTTAACAGTGGATCCATCAAACCGGATTCTGCCAGCTGATGCTCTGAAACACCCTTTCATCACGATGGAGCATCTCGATGGCGCTTCAGATAGACGTTATGTGAAAACAGCTCGTAAATTAATGAGAAATGTCCAACCGTGTCATTCAGATGGTGAAAGTGTCATCAGCGAATGCCCCGGGCCCAGTCAGGTGCCAGGTGTTCAAACAGACTTAGAGAGATCTTTACCAATGGCAGAATCAACATGCAGTACAAAATTTAGTTCAGAAGAAATAGTAGAGTTTAATTTAGAAGAAAGCAAAGGAGGAAACGTTACAGAGAAAACTTCTATTGACACCAGAGAGAAGGATGAAGAGCCAATGTGTAGCAAACAGTTATTAGAGAAAACCAGCACAGTAAACACAGAGGAACTGCATATGGATAATCTTTCACCGGACCAATCTAAAGATAGTGAAACATCGTTCGCAGACATAGATGAGACAAACTCAATTGGCTCAGAAAGCTTATCTTCATTACTAATCCCAGGTGTGAAGATTGAAGGCCTTTCAAAGGTTTATATTGTAGAAAAAGTACTTGGATCTGGGGGATACGGAGCGGTGGCCAGGTGCCGTATACAGGAAACAAATGAGGTCGTAGCGTTGAAAATGACGCGCCTAACCGATTACAGCAGTTTTTTCAATGAGAAGAAAATATTAGAAAGTCTGAACGAACTCACACAATGCGATAGCTATTTTATCAGACTGAACGGCAGTTTCGCCTTTCAAGGCTTTTTATATCAGGAATTAGAGCTTTTAGATACAAATTTGAGTGAGTTTTTGGGGGACGAAGGTCGTTTTTTTGAGCTGGCTGAAATCCGACCAATTGCCCAGCAGATCTTAGAAGCTCTTAGTGTTTTAAAACAGCTTGGTATTACTCATGCAGATTTGAAACTTGATAATATCATGCTTGTAAATCATAAAGCACAACCATTCAGAGTGAAGCTGATTGATTTTGGGTGGGCTTGTAGCACTGGAGCTTTACGACAAAAGGGTATCCTTCAGACTTTGGCATACAGAGCTCCAGAGATAACTCTTGGTCTACCACGAGATGAAGCGATAGACACTTGGAGTGTTGGCATTATCTTGTCTGCTCTGTTTCTTAAATGTCTTCCGTTCCCTTATAACAACAGCTACGATAATCTGAGAATAATTATGAAGCTCCTTGGTCAACCTGACAAAAAACTACTAGACAAGGGGACTCTAGTCCCAAACTATTTCACAAAAATTGACAAAGGGACTAAACATTCTTGGATATTTAAAAAGAAAGGAAAGAAGTCTAAGGAGAAGACCTTTCACCGTATAACATCCCTGGAGTACTTTTCTGTCTATAAAACCTGCAATTCAACTGAAAAGAAAGATGTTAAAGCTTTTCTTGACCTCGTGAAAAAACTGTTAGCAGTGGATCCAGCAAAGCGGATTCTCCCAGCTGATGCTCTTAAACACCCTTTTATCACGATGGAGCACCTTGATGGCGCTTCAAATGAAGATTATGTGAGAAGCGCTCATAAAATAATGAAAAATTTCCAACCAGGAAACATCCCTCCACACGGTAAAATTAAAATCCCCAATAGTCCGAGGTTAAAAGATGTGAAAAAGTTTCTCGAACAACAGAATGGAATAAAACACACTGGTGCCAAAAGAAATACAAGCCTTGCCAAGATTAAGAACTTCTTCGCCGAAAAGTACTACTCCGTCAAGTATTACTTGTCTAGACTCTGGTAGTTTAGTATATATGTAGAAATTGTTTTAGTTATATTATTTTTACCTAATTAGAACCAAAAATGGGGCTGCATGGGGACACACTTAATCACAGCACGTGGTTAACACGTTCTCCCCATGCATGCGTGGGTTTCCTCTGGGTGCTCCAGTTCCCCCCACAAACACCAAAAACATAGCAGGTTAGGTTTATCAGTGTATTTGAATTATCCCTAGGTGTGGGTGAGTTAGTCACCTGCCCAGGGTGTCTTGTGTCTCTTACCTGGTGACAGCTAGAGGCGGCACCATCTCATTCAGATAGTGAGTTTTCTGCTAGACTGAAGATACTTTTAATTACTCCTGTAGACACTAAGGAAAGCTAGGGAGACATTTCAGCTGTTAGATTCACCCCTTCTTTCCATCGGCCATGAAAGTAGTCACATAATGTAATGGTGACGTTTTAACCGCAAACTCATTTCCAACTGGAAGCAATTCTGACGCTAACTGAGAGCGACAGAGCTCCACACAGCTGATCCTGTGATGTCCAAAATAAATCACGGGAGAATCGCAACACCACACGTGATTTCAGAAGTCCACACAAAGGCAAGGCAGCTTTATTTGTACAGCCCCTCACAGCGGTATAAATCTGACCAAAGTGCTTCATAGAAATTAAAACATTAAAAAACAATACACAAGATAAAAATGCATCAAAACTAAAGCTTAAGAACTAACACTATAAAGACTCCCATGCTGAGTTAAAAGCCAAATCATAAAAATAGGTTTTCTAAAGGGATTTAAGGTTGGTTTATGCTTGACACGTCCACGAGGTCCGCACGGCTCCGCGCGGCAAAATTGCGTCATTTTAACAACCACGCGCCTCCGCACGGACTAAAATTTCCGCACCGCGCACCTAGGAAATGTTCTAACCATGCGGACGGTGTTACGATCCCTGACTTCCCCAGCGCCCGGCTTCTACTCCGCACCTTTTCAGCACCATTCTCAGTCCTATATGATACAGCTCATTGAAACACCATTAAAAGAATATATTTTATCAAGATCTCTATCTATCTATATACATACATATAATTATAAATAATTTTATAAGTAGTCTTATTTTATATTGGGTGTCTTAATGGCTGAAAATGGATAAAAAGCAGTTACATTTTAATTTAAAGATTTGAGATTCTAGTCAAAAATAAAGAACATTCCTCCAAATGTTCTTTAATGTGATCATTATAATTCTAATGCTTACAACTTTGTTTTTATTGTCTGCAATGCGTAGCCTACATCTTTATTAAATATGTGTTTAGCTGTAAAGTGGTAATTCTCTAATGTGTACACAGAGGTGGACATCAGTGCTGCAGTGAAATTCCCAAGATCAGTCTGCTTTGCTAACAAATATAGTTAAATCTTACCTGCATTCTAAATAAATACCGTTAGGTGAAAACATCAGTAGGCATTGAGTTATTGATAAAACCCTAACCCTAACAGCCAGAATGGAAGAAGAGCATGCTGGGTCATCCTGGATCTGAGCCTGTTCTGTGTATTTACCTACAGGATGCAATAAATGTCTACAAGGCTGAGTTTGGACCATTACATCTAAAAGAAAACATACAATCAGTGATGTTTTTTAATTGTTTACATTAATATACAAATTTTCTAAGTATTAACCTCACAGCAAATAAGTAGAACAATATAATAAACAGGCTTTAGTAGTTAAACAGGCGTTGTGCACACAGGTGCTTTGTGTCTCGGTGCTGGTGGTATCTAGGTCTCAGAGTTCCTGTCCTCCTGCCATCTTCTGTTGTCCTCAGGATACGGATTGATGTTTCCTGATGATGAGGGAGGGGAAGTATGTGGGCTTCAAACTGGTCCTGGATAACAGTGGGAGACCTCCGTTATCTGAATACTGAGACCAGAGAGTTGGTGAGATGCAGATCTTCTCTACCTCATCTAGAAACGGAGTTGGTTCAGGGAAAACTTTCCCAAAGACCAGTTCCATTATGTCATCGCCATATTCTGCAATGATAGACAATAACTTTAATGACATATTTTGTCTACAAGCAGCTTTAGGAAAGTTGTTTCTTTAGCTTTCATGTTTATAGTCACGTTTGTGTTTGTTCACAAGTTCACTTTGCTGCAGTGACTTTATATTTTCTTACAAATGTAATAAAATAGTGACACTAAAATTATACAAATGACTCCTTATGAAAGGAAGCTCATTAGAGAGCAGCGCAGACAGACTTACTACATGCTGCAGCTGTTTTTGTAGGCCAGCTGCTGCTGAATTTGGGGAAAGTTATTCTGCACACATCCAGATCAGATGGTCGATTACAGAAAATAATGTAATTCAATAATTTCTAAACAGACTAAACAAGTAAAACATCAAATAAATCACTCTGCTGTCATCAGACGGAGTGATTCAGGGGGTGAGGTGTTCTTAATGATGAGGGTGGCTGAGGTGTGTCATCACTCACTTTGGTCTGGTCCAGACCGTCTCTTTACTGGTGGGTCTCCTTCCTCAGTAGGTGACGTGAAGCTCCAACATCTGAACATTCTGTGTTCCTTAGAGGAGAAGAAAAGTAACAATAGCAAGCTGGCTAAATTATTTTTTACTAGCATCTCAAGGACTTGGAGAAGCAGATCTTCACTTACCTAAACATCAGACCAGTTTGTCCCAGCTGAGCTCATCAGGGCGTTAGTCTGACAGCCTGTCAGTGAAACACGGCTCCAGCCTTCTGGATGTTGACTCTAAAAAGCAAAGGAACATTTTTACATTTGTTTTAATTATTTTACAGCCGATTTTATCAGCTTTCCGACACTCACGCTCATACAGACGGTGAGCTTTGCTGCGTCTGATTGATGCAGTTAGTTTTTATATCTGCAGTGAGACAAAAAAACTAACCTCACTTCACTCAGAGATTGTTCTTTAAAACTCTATTAAATCCACTGTGTTGACGCACTTTAATGACTTTGTCACGCTGCATTTTAGCTGATATGGGACTTTATTTACTAGATGCTAAGATTACATCACACTCACGTAGAATAACACACAGGCTCTCTCAGGGTCCGAAATTAACACTCACCACTCGCCAAATGCGAGTAAATTGCTCCATTTGGCGAGTAAATGTTTGAGCTCTACCTGCCACCTGGCGAGTAAATGTTTGCACCAAATTAGTTATGTTTATCAGTCATCTTCCATGGATCTCTGATACTCCTCCCGCCTGCACGCAACGTACACAAATGTACGCGAAACGTGAGCGCCGCATCCAACGTCATTTCCACCTATTCCATTAAATCAGTTTATCAAGTTAGCAGTTAGCTTCGTGTTAAAACTAGCGG